TTGATTTAACTCTCGCTAGGGTCCCTCACATTGTAGAAATGTCTTGATAACAAACATTTGGTTGGATGGCTTTCATCACAACACAAAATTAAATGTCAATTTTTGATAAAATTATATATTAATTTATAATCTAATGTTTATTTCGTGTTAAATATTATTTGGTGTTTATAGTCAAAGTGCTATTTTTTATTTACATTAAGTGTTATTTATAAATTAAAAAGTAAGTGACAAAATACACGCCGTCAAATATATAAAAATTTTGAATTAGTTTTATAGAATAAATAATTGCATAACATGTAGTTTCCTCTGTCTTTTAGATTAAATAATAACAAAAACAACACATGAAAAACAAAAAAAAAATAGTACAAGAAAGAGAGTTATATGAGATATGGGAGTTAGAATTGTAAAACAAATGAAAGTTCAATTTATGACCGTCGAATCAAAACGATCTGAGCCACGAAAAATTCAAGACAAACAATCTAGTTACTTTATATATATTAGTTATTATTTGTGCCTGAAGACACAGAGTAATAATAAATAATAAATATTTTTGTATTCATATTCAAAATTAAATCACAAACATAGAGGAGAAATAAATGAATTTAAGCATTTGTTGTAGTGAAGGTAAGAGGTGGTGGGCGGCAGTGGTAATGGTAAAAGACGATGATAGTTGTGGTGAATGGCAATGACCATGGTGGAGGTGGCGTCGACGACGGTGGTGGTGGCGGCGGCAACGACGATGGTGGTGATGGCGGCGACGATAATGGCGATGGTGGTGAGGGCGCGATAGCAGTGGTGGTGGCGACGACAGCGGTGGTTGTAAAGGTAGTGGTTGGACGGTTTTGAACACTATTTTTTTTTTAAAGTACTTATGAGAAATAATTTGTAGAAGTACTTTTAAAAAGTCACTTCAAATACACTCTTACGACCCTTTTTTCCTATGAAATTTAAGGTGTTAATATTAGCACCCTAAATTTAGTGTGAGAAATAGGAGAAAATATTCATTATGATGGTGACATCACATGATAATGTTAACGTGGGATCACCTATCCATGGCATCAAAACAAATAAGTAAATAAGTCTCACTAAAATTAATAATCAATCATTCATATAAGTAAATAATTATTCACTCTTCTGTCATGTACGTAAATAGCTATCCAAGTAGAATTTATTTTGCCCATTTAGTATTTTATTATTGATTAGTGATATCACGTTAATATTACTGACCTGGTATTATTGTTGCATTTAATATTTATGAGAGAGAGAGAGAGAGAGAGAGTTAATGTTGTTGAGCTCAATGTTCTTGAATGGTCCGAACAGAACAAGAAATCAAATGAGTCACATTTTTTCTAAAATTTTTGTTTAAATTTTTTCACCCATCACAACACAATTTATTAATGTGAATAATAAAGAGGTTGTGTTAGTTATTACACACACAACCTATTTAAATAGTATTTTAAAAAAATGAGTATTTTTTGATTTATCATTATATGAGTGGTTTAGAATGATATAATTCTTCTATTAATTTACATATCAATAAGAATATGATAGAAATTATGGTAACAAATAATTATATGATATGATACGACTCAATTATGGTTTTTTTTTTTCTTTTTTGGGCTGTTGGTCCCCAGTAAATTCAACCAAATTAAGTTCCTTGTGAGGAAGAGGTCAGCCCAATTGCGTTCAATTCGAGCCGTCAAACACCAACCCGGACGGCTAACCTTGTTGTACGCTATTGGCTTTGAAAACATACCCACTCAGAGCATGCCACGTGTTTTTGACTCTACTTGGTCGACATACTTTTTTTTTTTTTTTACTTGGCCGACGTACTTGTTCCATTGAAGTTGACGGAAAGGAGAAGATTACCGTACCCAAAAAAACAAATGGCATCGAATATCAATGAAAGAGAAAGATTATTTTTTCTCGGGACACATATCTTCAAGTTTTTTCCTGTGCAGACTTGGAAAGAAACGAAGGGCAGTTTGCTGAAATTAGAAAAGGAGTTCTCTGAAATGTGTTGTTCTAAGGGAAAAGAGCATGATATTTTTTGCTCGGGTGTCACATGTGTGGGGCTTAAGTTACTTTGTGTTGGGTTGATTTCAATTTTGTATTCAAAATTTTAAAATTCGAACTTGATATGTTTAATTATCGTGTCGAGAAGTGTAAACACTAACTTGACTTGATTATTAAACGGGTTAGTCAAATCCAACCTATTTGACACGTTTAAAAAACAGGTTTCTTTCGAATTAGCACACATGTTATTTTGACATGTTTAACACACATAATCTATTTTCACACTTGTTTTTTTTTTGGTCAAATTTTCACACATGTTCATTGTCATTAAATACATCATTCAATTATTCATTCAAAATTTCAAATAATTTTTTTTACAAACAACATATCACATCTCTGAAATTAATTAAAATACATTTAAATTTCAACCCAAAAATTAAAGTAAGAACTATATTAGTATACTATCATAATAATGTTATGAATTATATTGTCAATTACCATAGTAGAAGCAAGAATTAATAAGTAATAATATTAAGACCACATCAGTCATACATAATAGTCAAACTATACTGCAATAAAAACGGGTCTACAATGGGTTGGATCGGGTTCGCATTTTAATCATGTTAACCTGTTTAAAATATACAGATTAATCAGGTCAAAATCAAGTTTGACTTGATTTTTACACGAACCTGACATGATTTTTCATGTTTAAGTTTATTGATTTTTTAACCCATTAACTAGTTTAATTTCATGTCCGACCCATTAATTTCGTGTTTGGTGCATGACTTGTCAAAAATTGACGGCCTATGATATTTGACGAAGAAAATTATACGAGGGACTTAAAAAATTGAAAACTTTTTATGTTTCCTAACATTTTTGTTAATTTTTGGTAGGGGTATTCATCCTACTTTATGAGTAAGAATTATGATATTTTAACTTCCTATTTGATACTTTATAAAAGAGATTTTTTTGGCATACCGTACCCGATCAAGTGTACTATTTTTATCCTATCTTATGAGTAGAAATTATGATATTTCAAAACAATCGGGTAAAAAATCGGGTGAATACAGTATATTTTAGTTATTAATTTTTAGATTATTTTAACAATTTAATTAAATAAATTATATTAATTAGCCAACACAATAATGATAGAAATGTTAAAATGTTAAAATTTTAACACACACACATATATACATTAAAAATTTCAGATGCCTAAAGGCATTATGTGAGACAAAAAAATCTTATTAATTTTTTTTCTCGAAGCAAATAGAGTGATAAGCCACGGACTACACAACATTCACAATCTCTCTCTCAACCTTTATCCGTCAACTTCCTCTATCCCACTCAAAAGAAGCCCCAACTTTTCTAATTCAAAGACAAATGATTTGACTCAGATCAAATCTCAAAAAACTTATCACAACCCAAACCATGGTGAAATAGATTTTATTTACATCACATGTAGTTTTCTTTATTTTTTAGAGTAAATAATAACAAAAATAACACATAAAAAAAATAGTACAAGAGAGACAGAAAGTTATATAAGAGATGGAAGTTATAGAATTGTAAAAAAAATGAAAGTTCAATTTAAGACCATCGGATCATAACAATTTGAACCGTAAAAAACTCAAGATAAACAATCTAGTTAATTTCTTTCTATCCGGATACGAAGACGGAATTTTTATGGGTATTCCGTATTCTTATCTAATTTTTGCGAAATATCAAAATTTCTTCCATTGGCCTACTCAATTTTTTGCAGCAGCCGATCAATAAAATACAGTAAAGTCAAAATATTCGAGTAATTGGAAATTTGAACACCCTAATTTTTGCCCAAAACTTTCGTTTAAGAAAGTCAAATGGTCAACAAGGTTTAACTTAGATCTTAAAGAGACTAATTCCCAAACTTGAACTAGCTTACTTGGCCGTGCCAATGCTTAATTTTTCATCTCAATTCCAAAAAATGATTTTAAAAAATGTGTGCAAATAAAATTTCAATCTTTCTTCTTTTTTCTCTGAGGGAGATTGAATTTTTATTAACTGATAAACTAGACAATTAATACAAATTTTCAAGGGAGGCTAGGTACACGAGAAACAAAACACATAGCTCTAAGATTGGTAAATGAAAAATAGCACCCATAACCCTATTCTTTCTTACTGTGGTACTAAAGTGAAAGTGTCGAAATTCGATTCAACGCCGATTTATCCTCCCTCTTTTTTGATATTTTAACTTTAATACAAATTAACTTCGTATCTGAATATCACATTCACATGAATCAAAATGATACATAATTTTTCATGCGAAATTTCATTCTATTGCCCATCATACTTGTTTCTTTTGATATTGCCCGTCTGGTACTGTAACGTGTGGGTCTTACAATATTTTTTTAAAATTTGCTGTCACAGTATTACCAGTTACACAATAACATTAATTTTGTGGGACACAAGTTTCAGCTGCTTTCCCACTCACATTGTTCAAAATTGCTGTGGGTAAAAGTAACACAATTATTGATGGACCAACACCAACATAGAATGTTTCAGATTGTCTTTATCTTCTTACACAAGTCTATTTACTACTCAATGCAGATATAGAATTCAAAATTTCAAAAAAGGTGTAACCATTTGTAGCTGGTATTTGTAGTGGTTAGAACAGCTGACCACTAATTGCAAAAGTTAACCCCCAAAGAATCCTAATCAAATCATGTTTTTGGCATGGGACCTGATTGTGCATTGCACCTAATCAGGGGTCAACTAAGGTTCCAGTGAGTCGTGTCGTGTTTGAATTATACAAGATGGAAAAAAAAAAACAATGAGATGAGCTAATATTGACATATAAGACTTGTAACTTTAGACATTAAACAGCAAACTCAACATGATACAATAATTCTTGCAAAACATGATTTACACAAGCATTCACCAGTTAATATCTATCCATAAATGTGAAAGCATCTACTTTCAAAGTAACCAAAAGGAAAGAGATAACCATAGTTGGACAATCAGAGTCGGAAAGAGGATTCCTCACTACTTTATCACAAAGTTGATTTAAAGTGTTGTGCAAACAAACCACATGATATATTACTCTGTATCAGACATCTCTAACGTTTCTAGCAGCTGAAAAATCCATTCTTCCTTCAAAGACACTAGATATATTACAGACACGAAGATCGTAAAAGTTGAATGTAAGAACAAATTGAGAAGAGAATCAAAGTTGAGACCTGTTTAGTTACAAACATGTTTACAGGGCGTTACCCCTTTCCTAAATTAGCAAATGGTCCATCAAAAGCCTAATCAAACACCAAAGAAAACCATGGAATACAACCAAACCCAAAACACCCATATATAAATAGAGAGAGAGGTCTTCGTAAATTCATCACAAGAACCTAATCAGTCATCAGCATTTTGGTTATCTCAACGTATAGTTTCTATGCTCTTGCTTAGCTCTTCCAGCTTCTTCATCCTCAATCTCTCACTTTCCCCCACCAGCTGCGAAATCTCCCAATTCAAAATCACGAAAACGAAGCAATTGTTAGACATGAGAATATGAATACAAAATCAGGGTAAGACTCAGGTACTAAAAAGTTGTTTTACGGTACTGTATCATAACATACTGGAACATAAGGATGATGTTAGAACTCAATCTGGTGAGATTATTACAGCATACTGTTACTTGGAATTGATTCTAAATTTCGGATCGAAGCTAACTTTTTTCAAGTTAAAACTTGACATTAATGAATAATAATAGACTTTCTTGATTAATAACTTAACCCTAAATAAAAAAACCTGTATTTACTTGTAAATTGGTACCTTTGTCTTACCCATATACTCTCTAGAGTAGTTTTTATAGCAAGTGAAGATATAAGCATGTGGCTCACCTCCATCAATCTACCAATTAGCTGTACTTTTTCTTTGTTCTTGTCATTGAAAGCCTCAAGAGCATCTTTGTACTCTTTCTCCTGTGACAAATTGAAACCCAGTTGTAATTGATTCTCTCCAAATTCTTCATCAAATTGGTTGAAGTAGTAATGGGTATCTTGGTTTAAGAATCATTTTACGTTGGAACATCATAATTTGATGGTGTCTCAAATTAACCATTTAGAGGAGGTAATGGTTTACCTTCTTCTGGCAGGTCTGTCCCAGTGGTTTTAACTCCTTGTTGACTGAATCGATCTTTTTACGAACAGATGCAACTTCCTTCTTCATTGGATCTGCCAACGCTTCAAGTTCCTGATAATCGACCCACACTTAAAATGAAGAAATGTTGACAGCAATTAAGAAGATATTAACCAAACACCTTTCTTCACAGCAGACCCATCAATTGTTTGATCAAATTACTGATGTAGTTTATGTTTCAGATATTAAAAACATATAATCCTTGAAAGTTGAAACTTGGTGACTATTAATTTTATCCAGGTAGTTCTTTCAATTTCTTGGAGGTTGAAAACATGAATCTTTCCCACCAAAAATTAATGGAAAACTTATTTTACCTTTGATTAGATGAATTCAAATGATTTGCTACCCAAAAAAGACAAAATTCTATGATTTTTAAAACAAGAAAACCCATTTCACACTAAAGTTTGATGAAAAAATACACCAACTTTGTGTTTGAACTCGCACAAAAAATTAATTACAGAATTATGTTTATTGTTCAACAAGTAATAAGTAATTTCAGACAGATAAGAGGACCAAACTTCTGGACAAGTCTTTGGGGACCTCTGAAGGATGAACTCTTCATGATTAATAATACCCAGGTAGTTCTTTCAATTTCTTGGATGTTAAAAACATCAATCTGTCCCAACAAAAAATTTAAGTTAAATACCACAAACCCTTGATTTCCTTGGTAAGATCTTAGCTTACTCTTACCAACATAATTAAGGGTTCTTGCTTTATAAACTATACCCACAATATTGTTTAATTCTATGGTTTTAAAGCAAGAAATTTTCATTTCACATGTTATTTGGTGAAAACTCCATCAACTTTGATTTTCTTGGCCTAAAATTTTAGTTTGAACTCATACCCACAAATTATTTACTGAATTATGGTTTTTTTTTTCCAACATGTAATGTCTACACCAAAGACCAGATCCTGAATTGTGTCTAAGAGAAAACTAGTTTGAAAGAGAAGCTCTTCATGACTCTCATTTTTTTGCCTTATCTTTTTTGGGGGGTTTTTGGGGTAGGGTGAGCGGAAGGTAGGAGAGCCCTCCCCCCAAACAGAAAAAAGTCAAACAAACACACACACACAACCCCAAAGCCAGATCTTTATGTAGCTATGTAAAACATTGGGTAAAAATTAAAGTACATGGACAAACCTCACGAATAGTGGCCAAACGCTTAGTTTCTTCTTCAATCCGACCCAACTGAAGCTGAACTTTCTCCTTCACCTCCAACTTCTTCTTCTCAATCTCTTCCTCCTTAGCCCTAAACGTAGACAGAGCAGACTTTGACATCTCTTCGTCTTCCTTGGTCATGGTTCCATTAAAGCTTAAACTCCCTGAAATCTGCCCAGATTGCATGAGTGTCTGTAGCTGTTGATCACTTGACTGCCTCTGTGTTTGCATCATGACTCTACCTGCACAGAAACCCTCCTTCTTCCTTGAATTTCTCTCTTTATCCTCTGCTTTTTTTCTTCTCTCTCTCTTTTGCTTTTGCTTTGGGAAAATGGGTCTCTCTCTCTCCTGTTTGCAGGTGCTTCTGAACAAGGCTGGCCTTAATGTTTAAAGGTTTTCAAGCCAGCTTAGCTTTTCTTGTTATGACCCACAACAGAAAGAAAAGAAATTATTTATTTTTTTGTTTTTATCATTTTATTATATATTTATTTATATACATACATATATAATACAAAAGCATGGGAATGAAATGACCCAACTGCCAACCACTTGGAAAAAGATTGACAAGAATTGACCTTTCTTAATGAATGAGGGAATTGCCAAATTCAACACCTATATCCACTCTTATTCAGCAACTCTCCCTTAGACGCATCAAGAGGTTGTTTTAATTTCATTTTTTTTAGTTTAACAATTAAGAGTTTTTGGACCGCTTGCACATTTTTTGATTAATTTTTTTTTAATTCGATCAAAGATAAGTCATTTAGGTTAACACTAGAGTATTCATTAAATCTTTCATATCATGATCCCAAAAAATTATTTAGATTTAAACTTAGAATATTTGAATTCGTCTCTATTACCACTTAAACTGCTATTAGAGATTATAGATTTAATAAGAATTTTTGAATTCAAGTGATGTCCATTTTTAAAATTTTACACTCAGTTTAACTTATGTTATGCCACTCGAATCAAACACAAGTTAAATCGGGTTTCATTGGGGTTCAAATATAATTTGAATTTTATTCACGTTGAACCCACATCCACTCCACTCGGATTGGGTTCTATTATATCCCCAAAAAAACGAAACCCCAATTCGAGTCTTCAGAATTTTAAGTTAATTTGAGATATTTTTTATCCCAAGCCCAATTGAAACAAGTGCTAGATATTTTAGATTGAACTCAAAGAATTGGGATTGATATGTCCAAATTACAACCCTTATTAATAAACAGTCTCTACACAAAAATGAAGAGAACCCTTCACGTTATCTTAAGAAGAGTTTTAGACCAACAATTTGCATATGATATAAGAGAAAATTGTCTCACCAGTATAGCTTCCTCGTGCGAAAACTTGTTGAAGGGTGGTGCACATGGATGATGGACCTGTCTCTGTAAGGATGGTTATTTTCCTAAGTTGGTATTGTACCAACCTCAACCAACTTTTTATACTTCTTCCACATGGGTAGCTGACAAAAGCATTTAGTTATGTGCAAACAACATAATAGAATTGAAAATTACTATATTTATTGTCATATATAGTTGTATAATGTGTGTTTAAGCTGTAATCTTTTGGGTAATCCATTTCGTAACGTAATCTTTCTGCCGGCATAAATCAATATCAACAACTTGACAAGTGTACTTGATGACCTTATTCACTTGGAACTTTTAAGAAGTATTGTATTGTAATGAATACCAGGAACAGATCCAAGAATTCGTGTTAAAAGACCGGCAAACTCTTTATTATTCCTTCAAACATTTATCTTTATCTAAACTGTTTGACAAAATGTTTGATAAAAGTTTATTTTGTCACTTGCATATAGGGTGCTTGAGGAGAAGGTCATATATCATGTAAATCCTCTATTCTTTAGGATGTTTATAACCGTTTGTAGAGCTATCATCGAGTCGTATCAATATTTATACAATTGATAGTCGATTCATGTACAATCATGTATAGTGGGTATAGATCATATGAAATTTTTATTCTATTCATATCAACCCATTTTATTACACAAGTCTTATGGGTTCACTCGATTATCATCTCAACTAGTTGAAGATAAATACAAACTATTTTACATCATATCAATTCTGTAAAGATAACTATAAACTATTTTACATCGTATCGATTCTGTAACAAGTTTGTAAGTTGTGCGTAAAATTATCGGTCCTAATTGCATGAGTTTAAGTTGCACCAGATATGGTAGGTAATATGTTATTTTGTCACTTGTAGGGAGGGCACTTAAGGAAAAAGTTTGGTGCAGAGTGGACAGGAAGAGTCACCTGACTCATCTACACATTATCAGACAAGAATGAAAGAAAGCCGTAAGAACCAAGCATAGTTGGAAAATGGGCATCAGCGGCAGCAGCTGCTTAGCTAACCTTTTGACAAATATGACCATCTTTCCAATATATATTAACTTTAATGGAAGATTCTCCTTTTAATATACACAATTATAGATTAAAATATATATATATATATATTTTTTTTATTTTTTTTTATTTATTTTTTTTTCTTTTATGCCTTATTTTAATTGGTTAGTTGGAATGATTGAGTCAAGCTGTACTTATAGATTCTAAAATCATATAATCACAAAGTTAATGGGTCTCTAGCTTTTGCCTTTGTGGTGGGACCCTTTTAGCACTTGACCTATACAAACACATATACGTTAGAGAGAGAGAGAGGACTTATTCAATTTACATTATTAATTATCATAATTCGACGGTCAAGATCATAACGTTGGATTCAATCTGGCCCTAGGAATCTCTTAGGTGGGGCCATCACATGGTAGGTGATCAACGTACGTAATTGCATCACCTGGCATACCACACAGTAGTTGATTAGGGTAAATATAAATTGATTAGTAAAAGCATTAAAGATAGGAACTTTAACCTAATGGAAAGCATAGCCTTGTTTTTTTTTTTTTTTTTAATGAAGACCATGTTTGTGTGAACTTAAATGATCTGTTTGTGTCAGGCCAACTAAGTACAGTTTAGCAGAATGTATATCAAATAATTATTACCAAAAGTATATCTCATGCTTAGAGTTAGTTAATCAACTGTATTTTGGATTCTTATCATTACCCCTTATGGTAACTCAAAAAATAAAATTAGAAATAAGTCGGAAACAAAAAGAGAGAGAATAAATTAGTCTGTCGGGTGATCAAAATGAAGAGATTTCAGAGGTTACTAGTTTATAAATAATTGCATATTATAACAATAAATCTGAAAAGAACACAGTTATTTTTTTTCCAACTACCAAACAAAAACCAAGCGAAAAAGAGTGCAAATTGTATAATTTTTCACACCTTTATTTTATTTTTTTAACTTATAAAAACGCATCACATGTATAATTTTTAATTATAAATAATTATAGATCATTTAATACAAAATTAATAAGTAATATGTATAGAAGTAGGAGTACCAAAATAGGTACCATAACTTTACACATTATTGGTGTGCAAGTCAATAAATTGTATGAATACGATGGGCTCTGATTTAACTTATGCATGTGGAGTTATCCAGAGGATGGAGACTTTATTGATAAAAATATTTAATTCATTTAAGTATCAAAGATTCAATGGCCTGCAGCTGCCGTCACATAATCCGACAATTATGATGCTATGGTTCACCTGTTTTATTGTATAAATGTTTTCTTATTTAAATAAAGACAAATTCTCTATTCGGGAAAATAAAATATATGCCTTGCTTTCTCTCATTTCGTACTTGGTTGGACAAAGTAGGTGGATATTGGTGTCACGTGACGACTGTGTGCGTGTGCGTGTGTTTATGTATATATTTATGTAAAATTTATTATTTGTTTCCAGAAAAGAAAATTTAATTTAAAAAAACACTTTTAAAAATTTCTTTTTTTTTTTACAAAAATAATTAAAAAATATTTTTAAAAAGTGTAAAAATTTGGTACCCTATTTTTCTCTCTTCTCTAACTGTAGCAGAGATATCAAATGGGCATAGCGGTCGTGGTTGTTGTGGTCGTGGTTGTGGAAGGGTGCTATAATCTAATGAAACTGATAATACCAAATATAAAACCCGCATACAAAATAAGTATAGAGGGAATATAGGGGAATCAAATGACCTAAAGAACAGAGTGGTTGACGTGCTGAGAAGGGTTCAGGTTAATTCGAACCTTAACCAACTCGGCCATGGCTGAAACCAGCTAGGTCATTCCCAATCGGTTAATTTTGAAATAAAAATAACGTATGTGTTTCTCCGGTCTCCACTGCGTTAAATCATGTATGGTAATCAAAAGCTACAGCAGAGAAATTTCATGTGAGACCTAATAGGATCTGCCCAATGGGGCCAGGCCACAAAATGGTCCAGAGTGGTCTGAGCTCTTGCGAATTAAAAGTTGAGCCCATTATGTGGTCCATATAAAGAAACTGGGTTCGATCAGTTTTAAGATTATTGGGCCCCGGCCCAATTGTGGAGGCTAATGCATTTTGTGGAGGGCACGCTACAGCCAATCTTGGGACGGATCACGATCTACACAAGGAATACGTTTGGGCTTTAGGCCAATTGACAATGCATTGAGCTTGTTCATACCAAAAGGTTTGTGGTCTTTGTTAGTCTTACAGCAAGGTCTTAGAGAATCTCCAATAATACTATCTAAAATAGTTACTCAAAATATATTTAATATTGTATTATCTACTTTGACTAATCACTTTTTCAAATTCACTCTAACAACACTATCTACTTTAATTAACCACTTCAACTAACTTTAATTAACTTTTAATAATAAAATTCAAAAAATAACAATTCAACTATACATTGTACAAATTTAATCAATTATGGATTACAAGAGTAAATATTATAAAATACTTGGAAGGTTTTGCTAGAATTTTTTTGGATTTTGCTGGATTTTGTGGGATTTTACTACATTTTTTGGAGGGTTTTGCTAATTTTTTTTGGGAGATTTTACTGTATTTTTTGGGGGTGTTGCTAGAAATTTGACGATGAAGCCTCTCAGATCAAACCCACAAATTTGATGATGAATCAGATCAAAACCCTCTCACCATTCTCAACACCCCCAAAAAATTTGAATAGAAAATACGCAGATGAGCTACAAATGGATCGATTCTCATGAATCCATTTGAACAGAAAATACCAGTGGAGCCTTCAATCGATGGAGCCTCAGTCGGTGGACTGAGCAAATCGATGGAGTTTTGAGGTAGAGAGAGACAAGGATCGATGGAGTTTTGAGTTTTGTGGTCAATCGATGGAGAGGCAGGGAGAGGCGAGAAGTCTAGCGCGAGGGAGATATGGGCTAGCTAGATGTATCGAGTGAAAAGGGGCTATGGAAAATAGATAGCCAGATAGCTAATCTGTTAGAAGCAACATTTTAAGGAGAAACAATCTAAAATAGCTAAGAGGAGAGTTTTACCTAACCCGTTGGAGATGCTCTTATTCTCAGAAAAAATATTGGGCGT